CAGATTATAAAAACCTATATCTACTATCCTATTACACTTGTATCACCATCTCTTTGTCCAACTAGTGCACCTATACAATTTACCATTGTATTGGGTGTGTTGGGGATACAAGAGACTCTTTGTTATTTAGTTGTACGGTTGTTTGGGAGAGACCATCTTCATCCTATGCCTCCCACAGATTGATAAATCTTAGGTCATCCACTTGAGGGAAATTTGCTACTGTGCTACAGAACTCTATGCTTGGAGGCCCAACACGAGTCGACAAGAAGAAGGTTGCGTAGTAGACATCAGTCCACCACGCCGTCGCCGAAAGGAGATCGTGGCGGTCAGTACAAGATCTCAACACGACAGTGCACATCGAAGAAACCATTCGCGAGGCAAACAAGCCGCCGAAGAGGCCGTCATTGCGTCCGGCATCAAACTTTCCGCGGCTACGTCCTATGCGGAAGACAGTATCCGCCAGACAAGGGCCGAATGTAGGGCAACGAATGAAGCATTGATGGCCGACGAGGAGGACATCAACTGGCATGATGACAGTGACAACAAGGAGGACGGCAACGACAACAATGAACAAGTTCAAGTAGTTACGTTAGGTTTTAGAATATGCATGTTAATTATGTATGAACTTTAGCATATATTATAATGATACTAAGTGTTATCCTTATGTTTTATGAAGTTGTCCACTGAATCCTCTCATGTCCAGTCCAGTTTCAATCTAAATCGTGACAAGCACTACCATTTCATCCAGTTCAGGTGGTGACCACGACACCTAGATGTTATCCGGGGCGGTCACCACGACAAAGGCATCAATTCCTTGGCTCGAATCCATGGGCTCAATTTTTTCTTTCTGCTAATGGGTTATTTTTGTACCTGTCAAGTGGCCCCACACAGCTGAGGTGACAAGTGTTATTGCAAATATATATATTGTGTTTTGGCCACACACAAATAATTTTAATGTAAGCAAATGAGATCTCAAAAAATCTGAAGGTTTCAAATTATTTTTTGTGACACTCAAACATGTCGCAAATGGACATGCATAAATGATGGCCGAATATGTCACCAAAAATCAGCCTGGAACATCGCCAAAGTTGCCAAGGGCGCTGCCCCGGGGGAGGGGGGGTCATGATGGTGGACCGTCATGGAAAATGATCTTTGGCG